TATATATATATATATATATATATATATATATATATATATATATATATATATATATATATATATATATATATATTTTCATTTCATTTTTCCTTTTTAAAGTTTTATTCATAACCAACAACATATCAAATAAGTGAATAAAAGTTAAGAAGTTGAATATGCGGAGACCGAATAAGACTGTTTGTTTTGTGGTGGCCACCGCAGGTAGATACATGAATAGTTAATGAAATAAAATAAGGAAAATAACTGAAGCAGAAAGATAATTGAAGATAAATAAGTAAATGTTCGTGTCATACATATATAGACATATAACTATGTAAATGTTCGCTCAGTACATATATAAACACATAAATGTTTAACCATTCATAAAGACCATTCATCCGCATCATTTGTTCTAACGTATTCTTATTATAATATTAGGTGATGGAGTCGAGATTCAGTGTCAATAAAAAAGCACGGAATTTTGACTTGAAATGTTGTAGGTTTATGATGGCTCTTAGATGGGGAGGTACAAGTTCTGTCCAAATTTTAGGACCTGTTATTTTTATGCTTGTCTGGATTAATTTGAGGCGAGTTTTGTAAATATATAGAAGAGAGGGGTGTGTCTAGTGGTGTAGATTGAACGGAGTTACTTAATGTTAAGAAGTTGATAAAGTGAGGTGGGAGAAGATTGTTGATAAATTTAAAAACGAATAAAGCAGAGTAGTAAAGACAGATGAAGTTAAGTGGTAAAATTTTTTTTGCTAGGAAGAAGGGTTTAGTATGACAATCGGGTTTGAGGTTAAAAATTAAACGTATTGATCTTTTTTGGGAAAGTATTAGGTTATTCAGGTGGCTTTTTGGACTATTTCCCCATAGTGTGATGCAGTAGGTTAGATAAGGGTAGATGAATGTGTAATAAAGCGTGCGAAGAGCAGAAAGAGAGAGAGTTTATATTTGATTTTGTAGAAGATGCCTGTGAGTTTGTTGATTTTGTCTGAGGTAGTTTGTAGGTGAGAATTCCATGAAAAATTTTCTGTGATGGTGATTCCAAGAAATTTGGTAGACAGGGTGCGGCTTATAGGAACACCATTAACTAATAGGTTTAGGTTAGGAGCTTGGTTGGTGAGTATTTTTGGGCCAAAAATAATGTATGCACATTTCGAATAATTTATGATTAGTTTGTTATTGGATAACCAGTTAGAGTATTTTTGGAGTTCAAGATTGATATGTTCAGAGCAATCTGGTAGGTTGTTGGAAGTAAAAAGAAAGTTGGTGTCGTCTGCGAACAGTACGCATTTGGTTGAGGGCGAAACATTGCAGAGTTCATTTATGTAGATAGAAAATAGAAGGGGTCCTAGTATGGATCCTTGTGGCACCCCGTGATGAATAAGAGCGTACTTTGAATTGATGTTGTCCATGGAAACATATTGTATCCGTGATGAAAGATAGCTTCTCATCCAGTTGTGAGCTGTGCCTCTTACTCGGTAATGATGTAGTTTGGATAGGAGTATTTTGTGATCGATGACATCGAAGGCTTTGGATAAGTCCAGGAAAATGCCAATAGAAAGATTTTTGTTATTCATTTCATTTAGTATATGCTGAGTGAAGTCAAGAATAGCAAGCTCAGTTGAGTGGTTGGGTCTGAATCCGTATTGGTTATTGCAGATAGTATTGTTGGAGCAGAAGAAATTAGAGAGTCTTTTAAAGAAAAGTTTTTCAAGAATTTTTGACAGCGGGGAAAGAATGGAGATGGGTCTGTAGTTGTTAATGTCATCTTTGTTTCCTTTCTTGAACACTGGTATGATTTTGGCTATTTTAAATGAGTCAGGAAAGATTCCAGTGCTTAGTGATAAGTTGAAGATATGATTAAGTGGTGATATGATAGAGAAAATTATGCTTTTGATAAGAAACATGTTGAGTCCATGGTCTGCATAGCTCTTTTTGTTTTTCAAGATATTAACAGTAGTTAATATTTCTTGTTCAGTAACAGGATATAGACAAATGGAATGGGGTGTGGATGGGCTCATAAAATCTGTAGGACTACCATAGCTGGGAGGTTGGTTTGAGAGTAGTTGACTAGCGATGTTTGCAAAGTTGGTGTTGAGAAGGTCACAAATTTCTTGTTTATTTTCAATTGCTTGGTTGTTGATAGTTAGTTTGGTGATTGATGAGTTAGGAGGTTGCTTGTTTAAAATTTTTTTGATAGTGTTCCATTTTTGTCCAACATTGTTATGTGCGTCTTCAAGTTTGTTAGAGAAGTAGTCTCGTTCAGTTTTTCGTTTAATAGATGTGACAATGTTGTAGGTGGCAATGTTGCGGGTGGTTGGATATTTAAGGCTTATGATGTATAGTTTGTTTTTCATTTTTGCATGACTTAGAATGTTGTCATTGATCCAGCATTTTTTCTTTTTGTTTTTGACAGGTCGGAGGGGGGCAAAAGTGTCTAGAGAGTGAGTTAAGATAGTATTCAAAACAGAACAGCAGTCGTTGACATTTTTTAGAGAAGTCAAAAAATTCCAGTTGTAGTTCGATA